TTTTTTTCCCTTTTTTCCCCTTTTTTCACCGAACTCTTAGTTTTCCTCCCCGTTTCTCACCCAGAGGATGCTCTCCCAGGCCATCCAGCGGATGGGCAGCAGCGCCCGGCCCCGCACCCGGCAGTACTCGGTGCCGTACAGGCTCCGGCTCATCCCAAAATCCGCCACCTTGACGCGCAGCCCCTCCCCCACCAGGCAGTTCCGCGTGGCCAGGTCCCGGTGCACGAAATTCCGCGCGGCCAGGAAGCGCATCCCGGCCGCGATCTGCGCGCCCAGGTGCACCAGCGTGGCCAGGCTGGGGGGAAAAATTCCATTCTCAGGATTTTCCCCCCAAAATAATTTTTTTTCCCAAAAAAATCGCTTTTTTCCCCCCAAAAAATGGCTTTTTTCCCCCAAAAAATCCAATTATTCGGCATTTATTTGTGCATTTTACCCCCCAAAAATATCATTTTTTCAAAACAATAAAAATTCTACCCTAAATCCCAAAAATATTTACTTTTTTAATTTTTTTTAAATTTTTGCCTTTTTTTCTCTTTTTCCCCCCAAAAAATGGCATTTTCCCCCCCAAAAAATCCGATTTTTCGGCATTTATTTGTGCATTTTACCCCCCAAAAATATCATTTTTTCAAAGCAAAAGAAATTGTACTCTAAATCCCAAAAATATTTGCTTTTTTAATTTTCTTTTTTTTAAATTTCTGCCTTTTTTTTCTCTTTTTTTCCCCACAAAAATGCAATTTCTTTCAGCCCGGCCAGGAAGCGCATCCCGGCCACGTGGCCAGGCTGGGGGAAAAATTCCATTTTCAGGATTTTTCCCCCAAAATAATTTTTTTTCCAAAAAAAATCGCTTTTTTTCACGCAAAAAATGGCTTTTTCCCCCCAAAAAATCTGATTTTTCGGCATTTATTTGTGCATTTTCCCCCCCAAAAATATCATTTTTTCAAAGCAAAAGAAAATTTTTACCCTTAAATCCCCCAAAAATTTGCTTTTTTAATTTTTTTTAAATTTTTGCCTTTTTTTCTCTTTTTCCCCCCAAAAAATGGCATTTCCCCCCAAAAATCTGATTTTTCGGCATTTATTTGTGCATTTTCCCCCCAAAAATATCATTTTTTCAAAACAATAAAAATTCTACCCTAAATCCCAAAAATATTTGCTTTTTAATAAAAAAATCCAATTTTTTTCTTTTTTTTTTTTTCCCACAAAAATGCAATTCGCTTCAGAATTTTCCCTTCCTGAAAAATTGAATTTTCAGGATTTTTCCCAAAATAATACTTTTTTTCCCCGAAAAAATTGCTTTTTCCCCCCAAAAAAGCGCTTTTTCCCCACAAAAATGGCATTTTTCCCCACAAAAATTGCTTTTTTTCGCCAAAAAATTCAATTTTGTTCTGCATTTTTCCCCCCCCAAAATTAATTTCTCCTACCTACACTTATTTCTCTTTTTTCTTTAAGAGAAAAATCACTTTTCCCCAAAAAAAAATCCGTTTTCTCTATAATTATTCCTGTTTTTTTCAGGAAAAAAATTGCGGTTTTTTCCCCCCAAAAAATCTGATTTTTCCCCATTTATTTGTGGGTTTTTCCACTCAAAAAAAATCTCTTTTTCAAAAATTTGTATTTCTTTTCCCCAAAAAATATCATTTTTTCCAGAACAAAAAAAAATTTCTGTTTTTGCTTTTTTCCCCCTAAAAAATCCAATTTTCTTAAAGGGCCAGAACCCCAGAAATTACAATAAAAACAACTCGAATGGGCGTGGCTTGTGTGGGCGTGTCCATTTTGGGCATGGCCCTTTTTGAAGTGGGCGTGGCTTAATTGTTGAGAAGCATCTCTTAAAGGGCCAGAACCCCAGAAATGATAACCCAAAACCAACTAACTTAAAGTGGGCGTGGCTGTAGTGGGCGTGTCCCAGCCAGGTGCGTGCGGAGTGTGGGCGTGGTCTTTTGAGTGATGGGCGTGGCTTCGTTATGTAGGGGCTTCTCTTAAAGGGCCAGAACCCCCAAAATTACAACCAGAAACAACTTGGAGTGGGCGTGGCTGTAGTGGGCGTGTCCCAGCCAGGTGTGGGGAATGTGGGCGTGTCCCACCTGAGGGCGTGGCCTCGGGGCCCGCCCAGGAACTGGTGCAGGTCTCCGTGCTCCATGTACTCGGTGACGATGCACAGGGGGCCGGGCCCCCCGCACACCCCCAGCAGCCGCACGATGTTGGGGTCCCGCAGCCGGCCCAGCGTCCGCGCCTCCTGCAGGAAATCCCGCCTGGGCCCGCCCGGCACCAGGTCAGCGCACCTGGGCGCACCTGGGCGCACCTG